GTCGTAAAAAATACACTTCATGAATAAAGGGTAATGCTGTTTCATGTGTAAGTAAAATATTAAAATTTATCCTTAGTTTTTGCAGCTACGACAAACAATCGATAATGTAATCAATGCCAGTTAAAGAGTTTTACACAAAGTTAATGCTTTACAAATTGAATTGACAATTTTACCTATTTTGCTTGTAAGCATTCTGTATATTTTTTTAATTGCCTTTAACATCCTTAGTTATAAAATTGAATTGTTGGATTGTTTGTGAATAAAATAAGCTTGCACATAAAAAGTTAGGGGTAGGTTATCGAGATCGTATATCTAATTAGTTAAATTTCAATTAACTCAGCAACTCTCAGTAAATGGTGATTCAGAAAATTAAAAATTACTGAATTTCAGACTGCCAAGTTTGCGCTTAAAAGAATCTTTCTCAAATTTTTTTCCATTAGGTTTCACATGCTTTACTAAGCGCCTTAAGCAAAATATATATTATAGAAAGATCAATTAATCCTTTTTGCTGGATTGGAATTGTTTTGATAATGCCATAATATGCATTACTTTTCACGTTAAGCATAAGTTGGGAATCCCACAGATTTTTATCGTTCAACAAGGAAAAATTTGAGAGTTGTTATTTTGGCCATTTTTATTTTATTATTATTCATAATTAGACAATAACTATCATTTGAATTGATAATGGTCAATAGCAAACCAATGAAAAAAAAGAGATAACACGAAGCTGCATGTCTATAAAAGAGTGAATTGGATTCCCATTTGGAGGTTATAACTCTGAGCCCCCATTCATACATAAGCTTTTGGCTTGCCGCTATGATAGACATAGGGATCCAGCTATGGCTCCCTCTATTTAAGTATATACTCTCGGGAGCGTATTCAAGTCTTCTCACCGCATTGCTCATCTAACTTTGGCTCTTTGTGAATCTGAATTGAAAGAGAATAATCCTGCGAAAGCTTGAAAATAAACAGGCACTGTTGAATCAAAGTATTCATTTGCGTCACAAAAATACGCGTTATGTCAACGGGCCTAAGAAAATGGAGGCGCAGATGCTGTAAAGCTCTGCTGTTTATAAGTAATTAATTTTAAAAGTTAATCGACTTGTTTTAAAAAGCAAAATGTAATAAATGTTAATCAGTTTAGCAACTCAAAACATGTTATTCACGTCACTTTTCCAAGTGTAAACAATGTTGAAATGACAAAACCTAAATTGACGTAACAAGATAAATGTGAGCCATAGATGATCTTGTAATTGCACTAAATCATTAGGCCAAAGAACGACCATTATGGGAATTTTCTAAAAGATATGAAGACCAAGATGGTGTGGCCTTTTGTGTGGTCGCAGTCCTAAGTCCATTGTGTGCATTATCATTTCCAAAGTTGAACCGTGGAGGCGTTGTCGTCTGGTGTTAATAGTGGCGATACGCATTGACGATGCCGACTACGATGCCGGCGAAACGTCTGGGAATGTACCACGTCCACGGTCCTACTTTGGAAATAATTATGCATACAATGGACTCAGGACAAGGTCCGTTCCCATAAGTCTTCTTACCAATATGACCAGACAACTTCTATACAACGAAAGGAGACTGCGACCACACAAAAGGCCACACCATCTTGGTCTTCATATCTTCTACAAACATATATTACTTGAGAATAATTATCCCTTGGGCTTCATTAAAAATAGCATCAGATTTATATGAAATGTATCTTTAGATGAGAAGAAATTAAGACACAGAGACATTTTCTCATATCCTCACGTTGCTTACAGGATTACTGTCCAACCATTATGGGAATTTTAACAAAAGTATTACTTAACAACAATAGTTTATAAAGTTAATATTGAACGTCGGACTGTGAACGTGGTACATTCCCGGGCGTTTCGCTGGCATTAGCAGTGAGCCTCACCACTCTTAGCACCACACCACAACTCGTCAAAGAGACAAGTGAAGCCGATCCTTCGACCAAACGTGTGCTAAACAGTTTTGGTATCTCCCCTTCTGCTTTGGGCTATTCACATTTCCCTTAACCTTTTATCACACCTTCACTGTCACAATTGTTCATTTGCCGCTTTTAAATCTAATATGGTGCGCTCTTTTTAGCGGCTTTCATGAAAACCCTTCACACTCCACGCTGGCGTTCTCAGTTCCCTTCACTCTTGTGGTGGGAATGATGATCAGAGTCTGCCATATTGTTACGTAGTCCTTCTTCCCTGGGTCCTATCAGAGTCTTCCTCTTGCCCCGTAGAATCCATCTGCTATCGCCCTGGGTCAAGCATTTCACTCGACCTCTGCTACTCGAGGCGTTATTTCCCACACTCTGCGTCTGAGTGACTAATTCGAGGCTCAAGCCTCTGAGTAAGTCCCATCGTCACGCCTTTACAACATCTACCACGTCTCTGGTACAACAGACCTATTGTCAGCCAACTAGCTCCAGTCTCCGTAGCGTCTATCCTGTTTCCATGACTCTTGTGTGCCAATCCACAAATGTTGTTGTACGGCATGTTTTGATTTGGTTTAATGTTGAACCACAACATTTGTGGGTTGGCACACAAGAGACTATGGCATAGGAAGTCATAGACTTGGTATTAGAGATAGAAAGAGGATCGAAGCAGTGGGAGCAATAGCTGCTTGGCTAACAATAGTCGTGATTTAAGGATCACGTTTAAGATCAAACACGTCTATTGTTAGCCAAATAGCTTTAGCCTCTACCATGTCTTTCCTGTTTCTATCTGTAATACCATGACTACCACTTCCTACGTCATAGTCTCTTGTGTGCCAACCCACAATTGTCGTGGTTCTATTTGTTTGATTAGGCTCACTGAAGATGTCTCCTCTTGGTTTCTGATTCTTCCTTTCTCATCCCCTTGCGAGTTCTTTTCCTAAAATTAAGGATATTACCTTGATCCAGTCGTCTTCTTTTTGCTGATCTTGCTGTTGCCTGGTCTTCTCCGAGTTTGTTTAGGCAATATGCAAAGTTTCGCTGAACCCGCCTTCTTCAAGTCTCCTGTTCATTAGATTTCTCTCGTTCAGCAAGTCGATGGCCTCTAGGATCTTGTATTTTCTCATATCTTTACCATTTGCAGCCAACCTTTCTGTCGATTTCCAGTCGATTTCGTGCCCCGTTCGTGCAATGTGTTCCTCTATTTCGGAGCTTTTCGTATCCATGTTCCTACAGAGTCTTTGATGTTCCTAGATTCGTAGGCCAATTTCTCTTCCTGTTTCACCGATTTACTTCTGTTCACATTTGCCGCATTTGGTGCGATAAACTCCCGAGCTAGCAAGTTTGTCCGTCTTCTCGTGTTGCCTCGGCATACTTGTGAAAAGTGTTTTCTTCTCATTTGTTATCACCTTGATATTACATTTCCTTACTAACGGTCGCAATTGTTGGCGCAGTTATGATGAGGGCAAGCAACTCCGTGTTTAGTTGTAATCTTGATTCCTGATCTGATTATCATAAAATCCAAGTTGAAATCGGCCCTTTATAACCTTTAAATTGCTAGTATAAATTCTCTGACGTATCCGTTACTAAGGCAAATCAGTTTGTCCAACTTCTCGTCCTAGAACTCAGTGTCCGTTAGTCGTAAGCTTATGATGATTAAACTCCTTAGTATTCCGATCTTCAGTGGAAGTTATGGTGAGACGGAAAATTTATTATTATTCCCGCATATGAATTCTTTCTGTATCGTTTCCTCATGAATGTCCCTTCGGAGCACATGACTTCAATATGCAGAAAGGATAGTCGTTCATTCTCCTCCACCTCCTTAGTTGGTCAATGAAATTGAGGAATTCATTTAGATTTTCCTTACCATGTGACCAAAGTGCAAAGTAGTCATCCAAATATCGCATGAGCGCTCTTGGTTGCCAACCGGTACATGTACACATTTGCCAAAAGAGGTGAGAGTGGAGATCCCATCGGTAGTCCAAATATTTGCCCGTAGATACTGCGGTTGAATGTAAAATATGTGGTCCTTACTGACAGGTCGCCCAGTCGTGTTAACGATTCCTTCCGTATCCGTTTAGCCTCCAGGAAGCCCTCTTCTCGCTCCACTATCTCCAGCAAGCCGCTTACCGCCTTCTCGCCTGAGATATTTGTGTACATGGATTGCGAACACCCGAGGGCAAAGGAGGCTGTAATAATTATGCTCCACGAGGTCTCCGTGTCGCTCCGAGCAAGTTGCGAAAACAAGGTCAAACCAACACTTTCTTGCTAAAAGAGGCTGCAGCCAAATAGCGGGCCACACCGGCTTGACCTTCATATCTAATAATATGTTAGTATAGTCAATTTCATTATTCAGTTCAATTGTTTCTGGTACAAAAAGAATTTTAGATTAAACCTTTGGCCAAAAAAAACAACTTAACGAATTGCCTAAATTTGCACTTACGGTAGGCACGCAGAGGAGTTCACTTACTTGCAGACCAAAGGACCATTAATTGCATTCAACGTCACAGTTGTATTTTGCACAGGATGCGGATGTCATGAATGATATGGATGAAACAATTGGCTTTAATGTAATTATGTACGTTCTTGTCTAATTAATATAATTGTAATAGGAATTTACAGCATCAGACACCATAACAAAAAGAATGTAAAGACCAAATATTCTCATTCTATACAATTTCGAATTTCAATGAACTTGGAAATATGATTTGTGTGCATTATTTTATTAAGAATTCTTTAGCAGTCTTATTATTTTTATTTATATCAATCTAATCATGATTTGCTGCTGCAAGGACATCTGAACTTTGGGGTGACGCAAAAGTAGACAACCAGCTAGAAGATATCAAAAGTATCCGAGCTGGCATTCCATCCCTTCACATCTTAGTAGCTGCTGACCTATTTTTTAGATTTACTTGGCTCATAAGCATTGGAGTGAAAGATGGTCATTTAGATATCAATTGTACTTTTTAACCATGCGAATCAGAACTAATGGAAGGGAATATTTAGGTCAATTTCATTAAACGAAGCCCTCGGGAATACAAGTGAAAGTCAACTTCCTCTTCATTTCATGGCCCTATTGCCACATATTTAGTCCAGTCCTGTTGTCTCTCACTACGACTCTTTGCTCGAACTCGTTTCCACGTCTGCGGGTGGCCAAGTAAAGCACTCACAAATGAGTGAATCCAACAAATTCTAAACTGGCCCTCTCGTAATTCGCACCTTTTTATCAAAACTATTTTGCTCAATATGCACTTGTGACCGACAATTTGTCATCTGTCTTGTGAGATCTTACATTTTTATGTAGTTTGTTCGAGTATCTATTGTCAGATCATCTATCTGTTGGTACTCAGTTCGCATGAAAGCATGCAGCAATCGAAAGTCGACAGTCGAGTTTAGTCTTAAACGAGGGGTCAGACGATTGCGCCGGCGACCCGCAAACAAACTCAAACTGGACTAACTCATCAAAGTCCTCCGAGAAAACCAAGGCTTGAATCTGGACAGAGTTAAGTGTTGAGGTTGTTTGAGCTTGTTTTCGCAACTTGGTCATATTGGTAGGAAGACTTAGAGCAGCGCACCTAGTCCGGAGTGCATTGTCTGCATGATCATTTCCAAATTGGAACCGTAGACGTGGTACATTCCCAAACGTTTCGCCAGCATCGTCAGTGAGTATCGCCATTCGTAGCATCATACACCAACTCGTCAAAGAGACTTGTCTATGTACCACGTACACGGTTGACTTTGGAAATGATTATGCATACAATGGACTCCGGAATAGATGAGTTCCTCTAAGTCTTCCTACG